ACACATATATTATGTAAACAAAAACTTTCATTTTGGATGCGATTAATCACGATTAATCATTTGACAGCACTAAAAAAACACATTATATTTCACATACCGTACATTATTGTTGCTCCTCTCTGCCCCGCCTTTCTGAAACATGTCAATTTTTACAAATCCCATCGTTTTGAAAAGTGCGGTGTGCTCTGATTGGCCAGATATCCAGTGCGTTGCGCTTTCGCAACGAAACTCACAGCATCTTCTTGACATGGCGGCGACGGCGGCAACAATACTACAGCGATAAAAGTAATGCCTTCTTTCTTTGCGTAAATATTTGGGCAGTGTTATGCAAATCTTCCCACACAGTGACGTAGTCATGTGGGGGCGTGTTTAAACGAGGCGTTTTAGGAGGGTGTAGACGAGTCTTAACTTTTATAAAGATATAGTCTTTGCAATGTTACGTATCTTATATATGCACGAACATCTTGTAACACTTCAAAGAGAAAGAAAATGACCCCTTTAATAATGTTTACAAGTTTAAGGTGATTAAGCCTTCTTAAAGGGGTCATATGATGCGTTTTCAATTTTTCCTTTCTCTGTAAATATGTTTTTATATTTAAAGAGTTTTTATATTTTATATATTTAAAGCGAGCTTTTTGGGCAGTGTAGAGTAGGGCTTGTTGTTTGTCATTTCTCTGGATACAACGCACTGGATATCTGGCCAATCAGAGCACACCGCGCTTTTCAAAACGATGAGCTTTGTAAAAATCGACGCGTTTCAGAAGGTGGGGCATAGAGGAGATAAACACATTTCATTACACCAAATACACAAAATACTGTTCTTTTTAGCAGCATCATATGACCCCTTTAAGGTACATGAGCATTAAACTTCCATAAAAAAGGCCTATTATTAATCCTTTTAATCCCAATTATTTGTATGACAATTAATCAGGAGTACTTTAGTTTTAGGACATTCACTGTTCTCTAATCTAAGACTCTTAAGGAAGTCGCACACTGGATGAGAAGCGCAGTGCTGCATTGCACATGTCTTTACTACTGTTAAAAAAAACAGCTTTCAAGCAACGACCCTACATCAGTGTGGAAAGGCCTGAAAGCCATCACCAGCTACAAGACCCCATCCCCCAGCACTGAGGCCAATCAACAACTGGCTGAAGACC